CAGAAGACCACACGCTAAGTTATATAATAAATGTTACTACTAATCTCATCAACTAAAGAGTACCTAACCAACAAAGGTAGGATGTTTTATTTTCTTTTACATATTTTTTATACTTTTACATTATTTAAATGTACTTGCAGTTCAATTAAATTGTTGCCTTTTGTATATTTTTTCTGCTAAGAGACACAGCTGACTCATGAGAAATTCCATTGTGTTTTCCTGAGTCTGAGAAAGTTATTAAGTAAATGGAGGCTCGTGTACGATCCACATAGAAAACTGCTGAGCAGACTTGAAAAAGTTAATATAAACTTTTGAAAGACAATTATTCACTCTGACTAGTAGAACACTTTGTGTTTGTATTGAATTTTTCTCAAATGGAGGCTTTATCTAATCCTCACAGAAATTCCCAAGACAAAGTATTTTTCATTTTATGGATGAAGAAACTGTTACAGAAAACATGGCTTACCCACTGTCAGCCACAGAACTTGTGATGCAAGGATTAGAGTTCTTTATTCAATAGCTAGTCCTAGTGACTCACAGTGTTCCTTAATATCTGCTCATAAAATGTATTCTCTGGTCTACAAAGTGAGTTCCAGGACAGCCAGGGCTACACAGAGAAACCCTGTCTCGAAAAACAAAAACAAAAAAAAACTATTATGTACTTATTTCATAATTAATGCCCTAACCACAAATCAAATTATGTTTTAATTAATTCATGAATCTCTTAGAACTGTCACAGAATCTGTGTCATTTTAGAAGGGTGTGGTAATGACCCTGGAAAATATGCCTAGGTGCTAGGATCTACTGAGGAGTAAGTCAAAATGGGATAAAGATAAATTTTAAAGATCTGATTGAAAGAAAAAAATAATCATGTATTTGTTACCAGCATAAAGTCATACTGCAAATGTACATGTACTATAAAAGTATGTGATATGGCACGGGTCTTTATACGAAAGAGTAAGAAGTAAAGGAGATGGCTTAGTACTTATTTCTCTTCCAGAGGATGCAAGTTCAATTTCCAGTACCCATGTCACTCATAAATACATGGAACTCTAGCTCTAAGGGATCCAAAGCTCTCTTCTGCCTCTATTGGCACCTGTATACATGTAGCATACAGTCATAAAGACACACATACACGTAACAAAAATAAATCTTTAATTAAAAAAGAAATGGTCTATAAAAGGCATGATGTTTTACCAATTCTGCCTAGTCAATATATTGAGAACTTCTTAAAGTCATATTTTATTATCTATTTTAAACACACTTTTCTTTTAAAAGAGGTGTTCCTACAAAGATATTTGAACACCCCACAACCACTATTTGGCCCATCTTCTATGAGAAGCTCATGATAACTGTAAATCTTTGTGTGTGTGTGTGTGTGTGTGTGTGTGTGTGTGTGTGTGTGTGTTCAATCTCCAGAATCCTGAGAATTCTGCTTTGAAATAAACAGAAATTATGTCAGTGTGTATGGATATGAGAAAGGATGGGCTATCACATTTTCGATACCTAGAATAAAATAGCATTACATTGGAGATAAGATGGGAAAAAATATCCTTTTATTGGATAAAGAAAAATGGTAAAATTCATGATTCCTTGTTTTTAATAGCTGAATAGTATTATACTGTATAAATGAGCCACATTTTCTGTATCTATTCTTCAGTTGAAGGATATCTGGGTTGTTTCTAGCTTCTGGTTATTACGAATAATACTGCTTTGAACACAGTGGAGCATGTGTCTTGTAGTATGTTGGAGCATCTTCTGGGTATATGCCCAGGAGCTGTGTAGCTGGGTCTTCAGATATTTCCAATTTTCTGAGGAATTGTGAGATTGATTTCCAGAGTGATTGTACCAGTTTGTACTTCCACAACCAATGAAGGAGTGTTTCTCTTTCGCCACATCTTCTCCAGCATGTGCCATCACTTGAGTTTTTACTCTTAACCATTCTGATTGGTGTAAGGTGGAATCTCAGGGCTGTTCTAATTTGCATTATTTCCCTGAGGACTAAGGATGTTGAACTTTTATTTTAGTGCCTCTGGGCCCCAGTGGGAGAAGATGTACCTAATCCTGTAGAGACTTCATGACCCAGCGAAGGCAGATGCTTGCAAGGGGGTGAGGGACTATGGATGGGTGGAGAGGAACATCTCAGAGGCAAAGGGATGGAGCAGAGAGTGAAGTCCTCCCTCTAGGAGGAAGGACTGGGAGGGTGCAACAGTTGGGATATAAATAACTAAAATAATTAATTAAAATGCATAATTGAAAACAAATAAACATAAAATAAAAATACCCCCCCTAAAGAAAGATGGTAAAACAGAAGATGCTTTGACACAGGCACATAGGGACCACAAATCCTCCTGTGTTTCTATGAAAGCAATTGACTGCCATGGAAAGTGCTGTTCTTTTACTCTAGGAGCTACTAGCTACTGATAAGCTAATCAACATTCCATACACATGTGCTAGGACTGAGTATGTCCTGCACTGCAGTTTGGGGGAAGATTTTAAACATGTTTCAGTGTTTCATCAAGAAGAAGGTCCTTATGCAGACTTTAACGTTGTAATTACACTGGTGCTCTTTAGCACTCAAAACAGTGTAAACACTTGAGGGAGTCCATTTAAACATAATGAGAATATATTTAGTACCATGTTTTCTATCTTGTAGAAAAGTACTTTAAAGCCGGGAGGAAAGTAGTCCCATGAGAAAGCCGGGAGTTTAGGCTTTCTTAGCCACAAACTTTTTAGAAACAGTAAACAGTGACTCAATTTTTACTCCTGAAATATATTTCTGAAGTCATATTGTATTGAAAGGTTTTTGAGGAATTGTAGAAAATTTCACCTTAAAGGTCTTCTATAATGAAAATTATTGCACTGTGATTTCTCCAGATTTATCAGTTTTATACTTCTAAATTTCTAATATTAAATTGGTCTACTTCTTTTCACTTGTTTTTACCTTTTATTGAAAAGAGATTCTTTTCTCATACAGCATAGCTGGTTCTATTTCCCAACCTCTCCTTCTCCCAGTTCTTTCCATCTCTCCTCCCGTTCAAATTCACTCCCTCTCTATCTCTTATTAGAAAAGAACAGGCGTCTAAAAGATAACAAGTCGTAACAAAATAAAATATAATAAGATAAAACAAAAGCCACCATATACAAGTTGGATGAGGAAAACCAACGAGAGGAAAAGAGCACAAGAGAAGGAAAGTACAAGAGTCTGTTCTCACACTTGGCAATGCCATAAAAGTATTAAACTATAAAATATAATATATACACATAGGACCTTATGAAGACTTGTACAGAGCCGATGATAACTGCTTCGGTTTCTCTGAGTTGTTATGAGCTTTGCTTAGGAGAATTAGAGGCCCTTAGTTTTTTGGGTGTCTTCCATCATCTCTGGCTCTTTTACTCTCTGACTCTTCTGCAGGGTTCCCTGAACTCTGAGAGAAGAAGTCTGATGGAGATATCTCCTTTAGAACTATGCTTTCTAAGCATTCTATGAGTATAGCAGAAATAAGATACTGCCTTTGAGTATAGCAGAATACCACTACTATTTTTTAAGACTAATAGTACTTGGTATTACCTTTGATCTCTGGGCTATCGTGTCTCTCTAGTCTCTGAGTCTTTTGGCCACCCAAGTAGTATCAGGTATGGATTCCATCTCATGGAGTGGGCCTTAAGACAAATAAGACATTGTTGTTATTCCCACAAGCATTGTGCCACTATTGTCCTAGCATATCTGATAGGGAGAATGCTACCTGTAGGTTTGTGGCTAGGTTGATACTCACCTTTCTCTTTTGGTAGCCTTCAGCATACCAAATATATTAACAGATAGGACCTATACAGGGACCAGCTCTACCTCTACATGGACAATGAGTTGTATAGCTGTTATATTCAGCAGTGGAAACTTACTGTCAGTTTGTGGAGAGCAACCTGTTGTCTTGGCAACAATATTGGTTATTTGGGGATTTCCATGGGAAACCTTTGGTTATCAACTCAATTGTATGTAATGTAATCCAGTCCTAGTACTAGAAGCTTCATTTGGTGGCAAGAGATAGCCAATGAGGACTCTCTATCCCCCATTATTTAGAGACTTCTTCAAGATCACCTCCCTAATTTTAAGAGGTTTCCACTACACTAGGTTTCCATACCACCCGCCAATTCTAGGTATCTCTCCCTGCATTTACCTATTACAACCATATCTCCCCATACCCACCATACCTGACCCTTGCAGTACAATGATATTGATGATTGGAAATTGTTTTAAATTTCCTAAATATAGTACATCTGCTTAAAAATAAATTGAACACCATAGATAACAAATAACCACTCAAATATGTATTTTCTCTTTTTACCTTTTATAATCTTTAATATTCAATTCTTTACTTTCTATAAAATATTTTCTATCATTCAGGCATATATCAATGAGTGGATTATGCTCTAATCAAATAGCAATTCTTAATCTTAATTAGAAATTATATTTGTAAAAAAAGAAATTATATTTGTAAATCTGATGGAAAAATTATTTCTGAATTGAAAATAGAGCTATTGTATTCTACTTGGTGTAATCTCTATAGACAGGATTCCATCCAAATCTACAAATAATCAAATCAAACTGAGAAATTTGATTTTGTAAAAGTGAGACTGTGGATTCTAAACTAATATCAAGGACAAAATGTCTACCTTTTTCACTTTGCTGAATCTATCATGCACTAATTGTAGTCATAAATTGTGAATACTATAACAAAACCAACAATGCCTTTTGGATGCTGAGAGCTCATTCTGTGTTTTGTTAGCATTATAAGGCAAATATACAGTGTGAAATTTTGATCATGCAATAAACAAACTTTTAGTATACTTTTCTTTGGCCTCCAGGTTAGTCCTCCTATGTGAGGACTTTTCCTGAAGATTTTTCTGGAAGAGAATCAGCATCTCTGTAGATTATGTTTCCAAATAAAACTGTGTCAAGAGTAATGTGTGTTCTTCGATTTAGTGTCATTTCTTTGCCCTAGACAACAGCACTGAGGAAAACTCCCTCAGAGGTTTCACCACAAATCCTCACCCTGAATGTCCAGCAGAACTCACCGGAACAATGTCAGAGATGGAGCAAACTAGGACTAGGAAAGAAAAGCCAGTCAGGTAAGAACATGAAGCACATAGCACAGGTTGGAGACTTCATACTGACAGTTTAGTGGGGGTGGGGGAGGTAAGTTTCTATTTCCCTTCTGAGTTAAGCAAAAGTTTAAGCAAGCAATCTACAGCAGAATCTTAGCCAGTGAAGTGAATCAGAAAAGGAAAATTCACTTCATCCAGCAGTTCATGTATTATTGACTAGCCATGGATACTAATCAATGTCCAGTCAGCCACTTGCTGAACAATAAATCTGACTCACAAGCATTGCAGCCACATGTGTGTTACTGTATCATCATGGAAACAACCCACATACTTACTAGACATGTTTTTGAAAAATAATATTCCAAGTACATAAAGAAATCACTATTTCGATTTTAAAAAACATTGTAATATTCCCAAAGACAGATTATGATTTTCTTTGTTAGAGAAAGAGCAACATGATAACAAAAGACAGTTAGAGAAGCAAGCAATCTATCAGACACTGAAGGAATAGTTTTATAAATACTGTGCATAAAATGACTTGAAATATCACAAAGAGATGCCAAATTAAATGTAAATCTATGAATTCACACACACAGGAGAGGAAGGGCAAGGGGAAGAAGCTGGGAACATCTTCATTTTACTGCCTGGCACAGTATTACATGCCTGCTGACACTATTTGAGTTGCTTAGCTATGGTTAAGGTAGTTGCAATGGGTGTATAAAACAATAAAAACATAAACCTCTGGATCAGGTTAGAAGAATTGTTATTTAAAAAGTAGAAATGATCTGTTTCCTGCCCACCTCACCACTCTACTTCTCTTCTGTGCTCATTGCCCCAGGACTTTGCTAAAGCATCTACTGTTCATCTTTATGATTATCTCATATTCAGAGTCCTGACTGAACTCTGAACTATAATGACTGAACAATAGGTGCTAGAAAATGTGTTGTAGGTGAGCACAAATGAGGCTGTACATGAAGATAAACACAAGCTCACTCTCTCACACAGAAACCAATATTCAAATAAAACCTAACATATCATGTAGGCACAGAAAAGATGCTGAAGTCTGAGTTAAGGGCCAGAGACTTTACAACAAAATACGCACTTATTTATACTAGTTATGTAACTATTGATATCTCTAGAAGGCTTTTCATTGTCATTAGTGGGATCCCCTTATCTTCATCCTGCAATGTAAGCAACCCGGGGCACAGAAAGTTTAATTAGTTTCCTGTAGGAAGAGGGTCAGCTCAGAATAAAATGACATTAAAGAAGACATGAATTTCTGAGTGGTGACTTTTCTTTCTTCCCAACAAACACTCTCCTCTTTAATCAGCAGCCTAACCTCTGAACTAACTTTCCTTTATAGCATTTAGTTTAACATTTTTAAGCTTTTCCAATAAGCTGTGGTAACTGTAGAGGAATTTTATTTAGCAAAATGGCTGCTCTGGCAAGGGATCAGATACAAAGAACTTCTAGGTCTGTATGACATGTTTGAGATGACACCTTTAATCCCAAACAATGAAAGTAAAGGTAGTTTGTAGAAGGAAGCAGTCATGTTGAAAGTGACATTTAATTGAGGGGCAGACAAAGTGACAAATCAGAGAAAGATTTGACAGAATGAGTCAGAAATAGGGTATGCCCAATTCTCATAACAACAGACAGGAAAGAGAGACTGCTTAAGAGCAGTGCAGCATGAATAGAGGGCAGGCAGTTCAACTGAGATCAGGCAATGCAGTGGAGTTCATTTGAGCTCAGTTGGGTGCAGGTTGGTGCAGCTCAGTTGAATTTTTGAGTTTGTGCAGTTTCAATCCGTTTGTGTAGTCAGTGCAGTTCAGTTTGTGGCACTCAGAGACAGTTTTTCCAAGCAGAGCAATTCAGTGAGCAACCAAAAGAAGCCAGATTGAGTAACTCAGCTTTTAGAAGACAAGATTGAACAAGGTTAGAAGCTTCCAGGCCTAGGCCTAGGCCTAAGAATAGTTACAATAGAGAAAGAAGTGCTCTCGGTTCACGCTAAGCTGTATGTTTGCACTGCTTAGCTACAGCTCTCATTTCATCCCTCCATCTGAGGAAATATATGTGATATTTACAAGTAACAAGTTTTCAGAAGGCTTTATTTAACTCCATACTGTTTACTCTAGTTATAGAACTGTCTCATCCTCTGTCAGCCCTAACCATTTCCACCCATTTCTCAAGTACTGTCATCATATCCTCACGTCTCTGGAGGACCTTGTCTGACCTTCTTACTGAGGTCACACTCACCTGTGTAAGAGCTCTTCCAGAATACATGTCTCTGTAGGTGTTCATGTGATTATCTGAAATCATTAGTCTCATCCTTTTTCTTCTCTTCCTCTTCATCCTCCTTCTCTTTTTCCTCTTCCTCTTCCTTTCCCTCCTTCATGCTTCACGAAACTAGGAATAGTATCCTCAGTACTCAGCTGGCACAATATTGATTAAATTAATCAGCAAATAAACACAAGCATATTGAATTCATTTCTCCAGAACTTTTAAATTTTCAAAAGTATATAGATCATCAGTAGGGGTAGGATAAATATGAACAACACCCATCCATCATTTTCAATGATGATTCATTTCCATCCTTGGGGAAAGTAAACATGAGGAGTACCTCACAAAGATCTGAAGGGAGCAATGCTGTACTCAAAGGGCTCAATTATTTACTCTTTACTAGACTTTTAGTCAACCTAACTATTCTGGGCTGACAAAACTGTTTAATTCTAGATGACTTTTTTGCTGATAGCTCTCTCTGAAGTGTGGATAGCAATGTAGCTTAGGAATTATTAACAAGCTACATTCTATATCCAAGGTAACAAAATGCTTCTGCTTTCTTAGGGAGTGGCTGTCATACATTTTCTCAGAATTAAGAAAAAATAGAGCATACAATAAAGGAAGCTCCAATGACATACTTGATTAAAGCTAAAGGAGTTAGCGTGATGCTGCCTGGGGGTTACAGAAACTCTCTCTTGACCTCATGTGAACCAGTGTTACCTAGATAGAATCCTATGGATATCCTTGCATATCATTACACAGCATCAAAGGTAACTATTGAAGGGAAACATCTTTGTACAATATACCCAGTGAATCAAGATTCTTTTGGTATCTACAGTAAATACAAAACAGTACCTTCAGCTTTCAGCAATGTAAAGTTTAAAAAGTTCTTCCTAGTTGAAAAACATTAAGGGTTTAGTTGATTATAGGCTAAAGTAAATATGTAAATGCCTAGTTCTTGCCTCAAGTTTTAAGTTTGGAGAAAATATAATATTAATAAAAAATCTAAATGTAATATTTTTTTTAAAGTACATTCACTTCATTGTCTGACCCAAACTTTCTACCAAAAAGAGATTATTAGGTCTGAAAGAATTAACAAGTATTTGTGGGATATTGAGTGATGTAGATTTGAAATTTCTGTAAAAAATGCAGGGTGATATGACTGGTTGCATATTGATATCCATTATGTGCAGAAGATGGAGAGAGGAAAATTTTAAGAAAACATGAGCATAGACACTGCCACCTGCATCAGTCACCAGAATAGAACCAACAACATGTACACATAGATGGGAAAAGTTATTAAGCACTGGTTCACAAGATAATAGAAGCTGAAAATAACTGGTCTTTATAGTCAGCAAGCAGATAACCTGGACACACAACTGTATAGTTCTACTCCAAGGGAGATTCATATAAGTTCCATTGTAAAAGCAACAAGCACAAGACACAAAAAGCCAATTTTCAGTGTTCTGTGAGAAGACAACAAACGACAAATATTAAGCTCAAAATGCGAGGATCCAGAGACCTTCTGCTGGTTCTGTGACCCAAGCTATTTAGGAGAGGTAATCTGCTTTTCTTGGTCTTATGATATCCTTGTAATTTTCTTCAAAAACACACTAACAATGTTTTCCCATGTATCAAAGTCCCCATGGCCCTGCCAAGAGGATATGTAATCCGTTTTTTTCTCTCACTATCTCCAGTCCATCTATATGAATTGAAACTACACAGAAGCCTGTTTTTCTGATTCTAACATAAAGGTCTTCTCACTACTTCATATTCTTCTTGTCTTGCTAGGATCATGCTTTCTCAAAACTCTCGAACATAAAATTTGCATTCATTTGAACATACAACTAATAATATTCATTTGATCATAGAGAGAACTTCAAAGATAACTATTCAGAAAAGTAAGCATTCAGTTAACAACATAATCCACTGTACCTTAGCCTCGAATATTGTTTTGTAAGGATAAAAGAATGTGTGTATGAATTTAAGTACAATACATCTCCTTTGTAATTTATATAAACACAAAAAGACATAGTATTTATTGTATAAATTTGATTTTCATAAAACAAAATATTTCTATTATATCTTAACTTGTCTTGCATATAATTTTAAAGGTAGCCAAAATTAATTTTACATCCAAAGTAATAATACTTATCTCAAATATATGGCATCTAAGAAAGAGATATTTTTTAAGACATCTCAGTACTGCATATCGACATTTCTGATTGCAATCTGTTTGTGTTAAAGCAACGTTCAGGTATCTTTCCCCTTTTTATACCATTTCACAACATTTTCTAAATTGTCCATTTGAGGAAAGACATTCTCTGTAAATCTTCCTTCAAAAAAAATCAACAAATTTGTTATCTTGTCAGAGAATCATTTAGCTTCTGAAAGACAGAGGGTTCACCCTAGGAAGACTCATTGAAGCCATTTGTCCATTACCAAGAAAAAAAAGGGTCAGTTTCTAGCATTCTATCTCAGCACATCCTTATTTTTTAATATAAAAAAAGGTACAGTTTGATGTACACTACTGAATACCAAGCAAAAGATGTGTTTTGCCTGGAAATGTCAAATAGCTACATCTGAAAGAGAAGCCAGAGCTGGGTGCTGATAGGTTAAGTGGTTAAATGGCAACCAAGGAAGTGAGTAAAGCATTCAGTGCCTGAGTTGGGGTGGGGCTGCTACAAGTTTGACTTCTCCAGTACAGGATGCAGCTTTCACTGCTACCCAGGATGCTGAGAAGA